ATGTAACGCATAAATTATTCAATAAAGACCGAGGCCAGGCCTCACTCTATAAAATAAAAAAAAAAAAAAAAAAAAAAAAAAAAAACAAAATTAAAGCAATTCTTAAAACAGATAAAATAGTCACGGAATTATCAATTGTAGCTATAATGAGAATAGGATATAACATTATATAGCAACATGAATGCTATATATATCTGCAGAGCCTAATTACCAAAAACATGGGATTTTTGCATTGTTATCATAGCCGCAGAGACTAAACATCAAATATGAGATATTGCATTATGTAATGCAAAGCCAAAAAAATGCATTCGCACATCTCTAGTAGTACCCTAGCTTGAAAGTTAGAGTCTGTAAGATAGTAAACAGATTTCCCATATGTTCTTCAATAAAGTCATCTAATCAAGCAATAATAATAGTTATTGTGGAAATTAAAGAAATGATAAATAAAAAATTATTTTGCAAAATGCAGATTTGGAACATTAGCCAATTAAAATAATTCTACAAAAAAAAAAAAGATGATTTGCACACTTCGAATTTTATTCATCAACATGGTAACTCACTTAGCTGACATATTCGATTTCTGACTAATTAAATTTTTTCTCTGATCTATTGATTGAGGCGCTTGAGAACACCCTCAGAAGAATAATTTCCTGAATTTATATATTCAATTATTCTCTAATTAAAATTACGTTTTATATCCAAAAAGCTTGTCTATACAAAATGTTTCAAAGATCTAACTTTAAGTTCCGACCTTAAATTTTGTTAAAAAGTTATATCGCAAAGGTTGCATGAGTTTTTTTGATCGGATATTCACCAAATATCGATCACATAAAAAATTCATAATATTTTGGTTTTATTTTTTTGCAATTGTGGAAGGTACCCAAAGGATCCCAGAACAAACTATTTTAAATGATTTTTAATAGAGAAATTCGACTTTCTAAAAAGAAAAATTAAATAATTAAATACTTGTTATTTTAAAAACTATTTAAGTAATTAATACTTGTTATTTTAAAAACTATTTAAGTAATTAATACTAGTTATTTTAAAAACTATTTAAGTAATTAATACTAGTTATTTTAAAAACTATTTAAGTAATTAATACTTGTTATTTTAAAAACTAAGTAATTAGTACTTGTTACTTTAAGTAAAACTATTTAAAACCCTCAAAAGCCTTATGCTAACTAAAATTTAAACATTTATAGCTAACTTTGGTTTTAGCATATAACTGCACTCTAAATTTTGGCAAACATTATAAATGGTGCTAAACACTATATGATTTTATTTATGTTTCTTTAAACCTAGAATAAATTGGCTTTATTTTTGATATACAGATTAAGAAATGTTGAGAAAAATAAATCAATAATTTATTACTTAAGCAAAAATGATATTCGTAAGAAATAACTGCAATTCTGATTTCATTAATAACAAATAGATAATAGGCAATCATCCATCTTAAATTCATTGAAAACTTTAAACAATAGTGTTCTTAATTTATATTAGTAACAAACACCACATCGCATATAAGATTTTCTTCAGATTAGTTTGATGATATTGGTTGCATCTATTTGAAATATAAAGAAAAAATTAAATATGAAGAATAAAAATATTGATATTGATAATATTGATATTGATATTAAATATATTGTATATTTATAATGCAAAACTCACATAGTTACTTGGTACAACACCAGTAGTTCCATTGATCTTTGTTGCATTCCACCATTTACCTTGATTACTAGTAATGTAAAGGATTTCGCCTTTGGTAAATGAAAGCTCGTTATGATTCATGCTTCCAAGATCTAATAATTATTAACGTTCAGTAGTTCATTTCAAATTACAATACTTGCAATGAGAGTTTATGATATAACTTACAATCATATAAAGCTTTTGCTTTGAACATGTAATTGTCCACTACGGGATAATAATGTAATTCATTTTCACGGTGCATTGATTGATTTGTTTGTGCAGATGAAATAATATTTAAGTGTTGGCTTTGTTGATGAATTACGACATGAGGTTGCCTATTATTCCATAACAAAATAATTGACAATAATGTGGATACAAACGATAAAACTAATAAAATGAAGCCAGGGCCTAAAGAAAAGGTTATGTTTGACAGTTGGTTTGATCGAATATCAGCTTGAATCATGAAAAGATAGACTAAGTCAGCTATAATTGCTACAAAAATGAAAAATAAACCAATTCCTGAGATCCGCAATACAGTTTTTGCACTAATTTTTTGTCTATAATAAAAACAAAAGACAAGAGCCACCAACGAGATTACTGAAATTATTAAACCTAAATTTAAAAAATAATTACTATTTTATTGACAAGATTTTTATGACAGTTAAAAAAATTATACTAAATCACACCAATATTCAACATTGCATATATTTGATATGATTTTTTAAATATCCTAAAATTTAGCAAGTTTTTAAGATATAGCAATTATGATGTGATTTAGTAAACTAGAAAATAATCATTACCGATAATATGCGCAGCCATCATAAGAAGCAATATATACCAATAACTTAGATCGAAAAATTCATCATTCAGAAAATAATAACAAGATTGATATGTATATGTAGTAGTAACACAACCACCATATAATCCATCTTTATCAACATAGGTATTATCGGTAGTATCGGTAGTGATAGTTATGTAAATTGAAGGTATAAATGGACTACTAAAGTTTGTTAGCAGGAGAAACAGAAACGAAATAAATGAAAAGGTTGTAATAATGAAAGGTACTTTATTATAAAACATTGTCATTATATCATAAAATATTGTAATATTCGCATATGGATTTTAAGCAATAAGAAAAAAGAGAAAAGCAAAAAAAATACAAGCTTATTGATAATTTCTTTAATAAAGCTAAATTGATTCATAAAAGGTTGTAAATGCTTGTAAATTTTTAAAAATTTTTAGAAATTTTCGTTATTTTTAAATTATATTGACATTAGTTAATTCGGAAGTCATGTCATAGATATATTGATTATGTTATAGCTTTGTACTAAAATTGTATTAAATATTATTTTATAGCTTTGTACTAAAATTGTATTAAATATTATTTTATAGCTTTGTACTAAAATTGTATTAAATATTATTTTATTTAATTTAAACTTGTACTCAAATTCGAATCTAAATTCAAATCCACAAATGAGAAGTTCGATCAAAAAAATTCATAAATAAGGTAGTTGTGCGACGTTGTCGCACCAAACCAGGAACGGACAATAGTTTTTTTTATATTTGAATAACATCAGGATGTCTTTGATAGATAAATCGTACGTACGTACATACAGCAAAATCTTGGCATTACGGTGAATTTTTTATACTACCTAAATTTGTAACGTAGTATATGACGCATATGTTAAATTAAATTTTATAGAAAAAGAGATGGGTTTGGCGCGATAACTATATTAGTTTTATTAGATTTGGGTTTCATTTTTTTAATAGATGCGTCATAATTATGATAATCAAATAGTAATCCGGGTTCTTAGTCCAATTCCAAGGTGCCAAGGTCGCTCAAAAAATTTCACAATAAATATTTTATAAATATTAATAGCTTGTTTAAATAAATGATCCTAAATAGGAGATATTGCATGGTAAATATTTACGAGTTGAATAAGCTTAAATGAGTGTCGCGAAACGAAAACCGGAATTCTGATTTTCGGAAATTTCACTTTATGGCAACAAGCTTGTTTCTATAAATATAATCAACAATTCAGTTTTACGCTTGGCACGCTTTGCGACACTCAAATGCATAGTAAAGCTTATTCCAAATACGAATAAAATAAATCTAATTAGCGTTAGTAAATGATATTATTGCTAAATGAACGTGATATTGTGTGAGGCGAATGATATTTGTGCTCATTCATTAAATTGACGTGAATAAAATAAAATTCCAATTTTATATATATTACTGTTACTATTCATTGATCACAAAGGTAGACTACCATTTGTTGAATGTAAAAGAATGGCTCAAATTTAAAAATCAAGAAAGCACTTCATCTGTCACCAACAAAAAAAATTGTAAATATTCATTACCAGCTTAGGTGAACAAACCACTAACAGGAACCAGTGCTCGTATGTTTCAATTGATCGTTGATTGGTTAGAAATGGGCACAAATTTGGAAATTCCAAATTAGGTAAAAATATTCGGTTTTGTATAATATCTTTGGTCACAATATAACCCCAGGATCGCCTAAGTAATTTTACCATCACGTGATGATCGACGCAAATAAGCCAATAATGAATTTCGATTTGGTGTAACGTTACGCGATCAGAAAAAGAATTTTGTCGGATATCACGTGATGGTTAAAATTTTGTTGGCTTTCCTGGGGAAGATTCACAATATTAATTGCTCATACGATTTTACACGTACGTGCGTAAAAATACACTAAACATTTACAATTACGTATGCAATACTCTGCGACAGAGTTTCGAGAGATTTATTTTAATATGAAAAGATGTATTGATTTATATAAAGGCCTTAAAAGGAATAACTTGATAATAAAAATAATATTAGAATATTTCTTAACTTATACTAGCGAAACATGGTAACATGGTATTGTAGATCTATTGTACCATGAAATTTAAAAAGTTTATACTAAAATTTTGCAAGAATTTTTTTGATAGAATCGCATAATAGATATTAATGTGCAGATAGAAATTACCTAATATTAATTATTAATAAAAATAACAGTATTCATGATACAAAATTAAGAAAAAATACTGTTATAATGCAAGACAATAAATTAGTTT